GCGGAGAGCCAGCTAGGCACCCCTGACCTACAGCAGATCACCCTGGCACCTGGCCCGTTCGGTGGGACTGGCTACAGCGTCATCACAGCACCCCCTATGGAGGAGGGGACATCGGCTCCTGGCACGCCTTACAGGTGAGACCTGCTGCCTGCAAGGCCCCTTTAGTTTGGTAGGTGCGCCGGGAGGCCTCAGAGGAGGGCTCTGCCCACCCGAGCCTTGTTGGCTGGAGGCAAAAATCCTAACACACGTAACACAATGAGCCACAGGAGTCCTGTCTTTCTCAGGAGATTGGAAGCTACTGTTCTTTGGCCACTTAGGTGTTCCAGGCACTGAATGTTTGGGGACTCACTTAAACCATTCTCGTGAGGTCCACGTTTCTCTGACTTGCTTAAGGTCAGACGGGCAGTGAGTGAGCCGTCGACCCCTTGGTTCTAGAGTCATGTGCTCTCTGTTCTGGGTGATCCCTGAGGGGCTGTCCAGTCCTGAGCTTCGAAGCAAACTCCGGCTCCTCGCTGGCACCAGAGGCCTGGCAGCTGCACACGGCTTCCTCTACACAGAGCAAGTTCAGGGCAGGAATATTTGTATGCTCACTGGACTCCTGGGCCGTCTGAGAAAGCGTTTAATGCAAGCACTGTAGCGCCACAGTGTGCGGTTGGGATGGGAATCTGGATCCCCGGGCAGCCGGCGGGCAGCCCGGTCTCAGCGTCTGCCATCTGCTCTTGGTCTCTGGGGACTTTCTGGCCCTGCCTCCCCACTCCACCCACCGGCCCTCCTGTAGCCGCACTTGGCCAGACTGGCCTGGACCCCTGGGCTCTCGGCCTCACTGCCGCCCCGCCCTTAAGCGGAGCCCGATGACTACTGCTGGTGCAGGACAGTACGTTGGACCTATAGTCACCGTTTATGGAAGAGACTGTTGAGGTTCAGCTGGAAAAGGGGAGAGCCGGAATTCAAACCAGGGAGTCCACCTGTGGTGGCAGTCACCCCTCCTTTGATGACTTTCCTGGGGAAGGGGACTCCTGTGGCCTTCCATCCCATTAGAATTCATTCCTCCGCTCTTCGGTGCCCACAGCGAGGAGCCCCCAGGGGAGGCAGCCCAGGCTGTGGTTGTGAGCGACACCCTGAAAGAAGCCGGCACCCACTACATCATGGCAGCTGATGGAACCCAGCTACACCACATCGAGGTGAGGCTTGGGGTACCGACCCCTCCCCATGTCCCAGCCTTCCCCCATCTTCCTCAGTACCTCATGCTCCCCCGTCTCTCTACAGCTGACTGCGGATGGTTCCATCTCCTTCCCAAGTCCGGATTCCCTGGCCTCCGGAGCCAAGTGGCCCCTGCTACAGTGTGCGGGGCTGCCCAGAGACGGCCCTGAGCCCCCGTCCCCAGCCAGGACTCACAGGGTGGGAGACCCCCAGGGCTCTGCCTCCCCACCTTCTGCGGCCAGCAAAGCCCTGAGCCTGGGAGTACCACCATCACCACCAGCTGCAGCCGCGGCCTCATCGAAGAAGTTTTCCTGCAAGATCTGTGCTGAGGCCTTCCCTGGCCGAGCAGAGATGGAGAGTCACAAACGGGCCCATGCTGGGCCTAGTGCCTTCAAGTGCCCCGACTGCTCCTTCAGTGCCCGCCAGTGGCCTGAGGTCCGGGTAGGTGCCGCCCCCCATGCCTCCCCTGGCACTCATTTGGCCACTTGTGTAACAGAGCTTAACTGAACTCTCCCGCCCCCGCCCAAGCCAGGCCCTCTTTCCCTTTTAGGGTCAGAGAGGACTCCACAAGGTCTCATCATTTGGGGGGCTCAGTCTGGTGGGGAACCCATCCAGACAGGGTGACTAATGCCAACAGTGTGTGTGCTGTGAACAGACTACAGGCGGCAGAGCAGACAGGGACCGGGTCATGTGGACTTGGGGTGCTGACGCTGGCCAACCCGGGCCAGGGAGGGGGCAGAGGCACAGTGGGGGGCGGCAGGAGGCATGCTTAGGGAAATGCCAGTTGTCTGGAATAGAGAGCGTTCAAGGTACAAGGGAGGTGGTGGAGACAGTGTGGAAAAGGCGAGGAGGGCAGGTTCTGCACGGGAGTCCTCCCCGCAAGGATTATCGTTTCTAGATCCAACTGTGCACTGAATCCTTACAGCAGCTCAGTGAGGGGAGCAGGGCCCAGAACCCTAGAACGTCAGGGCTGGAAGAGCCCTTCAGAGGTCCCCTCGTCTGAACATCTATCTCGTGTTTACACGGGGGTAAACGGAGTCTGGGAGCAGGGACAGGATTTTCTGAGTGACCTAACGACGGGCCCTGGGACTTGTTCCTCTCTCTGTACACAGCAGCGCCAGATCTTGGTCTGGTTTGTACTTACACAGCTCGTCCCCACCTGCAGACAGGTTCCCCAACAGCTCTGTCTGTGTGGTGCCAAGTGGTCCCCCAGCCAGCGCCCCTGCCTCTGCCCCTTCTCCAGGCCCACATGGCGCAGCACTCAAGCCTGCGGCCCCACCAGTGCAGCCAGTGCAGCTTTGCCTCCAAGAACAAGAAGGACCTGCGGCGGCACATGCTGACCCACACCAATGAGAAACCCTTCGCGTGCCACCTCTGCGGGCAGCGGTGAGGCCAGGGACAGGCAGGCGGGGGCTGCTAGGCATGCGTGATGGGGCTGCCCCTGAGCCTGCTCTCCGCCCCCCTCAGCTTCAACCGTAACGGGCATCTCAAGTTCCACATCCAGCGGCTGCACAGTCCTGATGGGAGAAAGACGGGGACACCGACTGCCCGGACCCCAGCCCGGACCCCCACCCAAACCATCATCCTGAACAGTGACGACGAGACGCTGGCCACACTGCACAGTGAGCTGCCCCTGGGGGACCAGCGTGGGGGGGCCAGGGTACGTCAGGTTTCACCCGAGTCCTGTGTGAGCACCCTCCCCTCTCTGCTCAGCTGCACTCCAGTCCAGCCACGGGGTCCTGGGCCCAGAGCGGCTGCAGCAGGCACTAGGCCAGGAACACATCATTGTGGCCCAAGAGCAGACCGTGACCAATCAGGTGAGCGCCTGGGCTGGGAAGTCACGGGCCAGGGTGGGGGCACACAGTCGAGGCTGGAGCTGGCTTGGTCCTGGCAGGAAGAAGCCACCTACATCCAGGAGATCACCACCGCAGACGGCCAGACAGTGCAGCACCTGGTGACCTCCGACAACCAGGTGAGCACCTCCGCCAGCACTGCCCTCCCTCCGCCTGCCCCCAGGCCCCACTTCAGGGAGGAACCATGCTTTCCAAACCACCGCTCCCTGGGTTCGCGCTTGCGGCCGCCATTGTTGATGGCGGGTGACCCTGGCCCCCTGCTCAGTCTTCCTTGCTAAGCTCCCAATTCAGCAAGGCCTCCACACCTGCCTCCTCTCCACCCTTCTCCAGGTACAGTACATCATCTCCCAGGATGGAGTCCAGCACCTGCTCCCCCAGGAATACGTGGTGGTTCCAGAGGGCCATCACATCCAGGTAGGCCGGGCCTGGGCAGGGGAGGGCTGGGGAAGGGTGTACAGCCTCCTCAATCACCACATTGCCTTCCCCTCTGCAGGTACAGGAAGGCCAGATCACACACATCCAGTATGAACAAGGGGCCCCTTTCCTTCAGGAGTCCCAGGTAGGGCCTCTGGGGGGTGGGTCAGATGGGGCTGGGGCACAGGCAGAGCTTCTCCAAGGCCGTATCTCACTGGTTTCTCCACTCTAGATCCAGTATGTGCCTGTGTCCCCAGGCCAGCAGCTGGTCACACAGGCCCAGCTGGAGGCCGCTGCACACTCAGCTGTCACAGGTACGGGGCGGGAGCCTGACGCCCATGGGGACCCAGGACGAGCTTCTGGGGCCTCAGGCTCACCGTCTTCTCCCCTCCCCTGGCAGCAGTGGCTGATGCTGCCATGGCCCAAGCCCAGGGCCTGTTTGGTGCAGAAGAGGCAGCGCCTGAACACATCCAACAGCTGCAGCACCAGGGCATCGAGTACGACGTCATCACCCTGACCGACGACTGAGCCCCAAGGGCCCAACACACACTGTGGATATTGGGGCCAGCCATGCTGGGGGTGTGGGGGGAGTGGGACCCGCTGGGACTCCCTTCCCTGTTTCACCTAGGGTCTCTGGACACTGAGCAGCCAGTATCCTGTCACTCTGAGAGAGCCAGACCTGTGCTGCTGGGTTTAGGGGACAGCCATGGGCCCCGGCCAGGACATGCTGGGTGCCCTAGCCTGCAGGCAGGCTTTGGGGAGAGAAATTTATTTTTGTTTGGATGGACCCACTGGCCCCTCAGTCTCAATAAAGGGACCAGAGTCCAGTCCTGACCATCTTATTTTTGTCTGAAAGGACTTGGGAAATGGAAGGAAGAGCCTATTATAGCTCAGGAGAGCTGCCTGGCCCCACAGTGAGTCCCGCCCTGCCCCTTTAAGTGTGGTGCCCAGCAGCAGGGCAGGCCCGTGGGGCAGAGGCCTGATACTGGGAGAGATGGCTGAGCTGGTAAGAACCCCCTGAGCACCTTCAGACCTTCTTCCCCTCTCCTGGACCGTAGGAGAACATCTGCTCCAGGCCTAGAGGTCCTCAGAGGGCAGCACAGCCAGCTACCTGTCTGCAGGGAGACCATTCCCTGAAACCCATGGCGGATTCAGGCTGTTCTCACTGAGCCCGGACTATGAATCCTGGCTACCCCCTTGCTGTGGCGGCTCTGGGTTGAGCAGGAGTCCAGCTCTATTCCTGGGCATAGCCCCCATCCTCTGCTCCCTGGAGGTAGGACAGCAGGCCTGGCTGTGGGAGTCCGGGGCCTGCCAACAGATGACGCAGGGCTCTGGACCCCAGACTCGCTAGACACAGGCGGGGCTAGCAGGGACCCAGCTGTGGGGCCAGCAGGGCAAGAACTTAGACACTGGAGCCCTGGGTTGGGGTGTAAGACCCAGGGGATCCTAAGAAAGTGAGCCTCAATGTAGAGGGTGTGGTTCCAGGACTAACTCCAGATTTTCCACCTCTGCCCTCAAGACCCTCACGCATTCTTACAGGGGTTTCTGTATTTCCTTTTACAAATGAAACAAGATGGCGATAAGATGGTTGGGATTGGGGGGAGGAAGGGAAGGGATGGGACCTATTTACACAGGAGTCGGAGTGAGTTTGAGGTGAGGAGTTGGGGGTTCGGGCAGGGAGGGGAGCCCTGGCAGAGCCATAATCTTCCTATGACACTGGCAGCCTGAGTCCCGCTGCCACCTCAGGGGGAGGGTCCTGGGGTCTGCTCAGCCCCAAGAGGCCCGAGTCCCAGCAGTCCATACCAGCACCCTGGGGCTCCTCCTCCCCGCAGGATGTGTTAAGTGGGGTGAGGCTCGCGGCTAGGGCCCTGTTCGCGACCCGAGTCCCGGTCCTTGTTCTCCGAGGAAGAAGAGGAGCCAGAGCTATGGCTGCGGCCTGACTGCCGGTAGGCGGAGCTCAGCTCCTGCAGCCGCTCCGGCGTCGGCCCCCACTTGGCAAAGCCGGGGTCATTCTGTAGGAAGAGCACGGCCGTGTTGTGGACAGCCTTGTAGTGCATTTCTTCCCTGTGGACAAAGGAACAGCTCAGGGTGGGGCTCGGCCTGGCATGATCAGCCTGGCCCTCCTCCCCCACCCCACCCCCGCCCTCCCCGGGCACCCACTTCTTGCAGACGTGCTGGGAGCCACTGCGGTACTCGTGCTCGAAGGCAGGCAGGACCAGCTGGTGGCGTTTGAAGCGGCTCTGCTCCATGCGGGTGAGCGCCGGCGTGGGGGGTTCTCGCCACTCGGGGATGAACACGATGAAGGACAGGGGCTCTGGTGAGCTCTCGAGCAGTTTCTACGGGAGGGGGCACGGGGTGGACATCAAAGGCTGCCCTCCAGGTGGCTGGCAACCCTGCGTGCCACCCCTGCTCCCCACCTACAGCAGCACACCAACCTCGAAGTGAGAGACCATGGCATCCATGAGCTCCTCGCAGAACGGAGGGTTGGCCTCAAAGGAACCACTCAGCGGGGAGAAGTCCAGGCAGGGCCTGGGGACAGAGGTGAGCATTCTAAGTCCTACCAGGACCCAGGCCCTCCACCAGAAATGGGTGCTACCCCCACGTTGTTGGAGGGATGGGCCCTGGTCAGGCCCTAGGCCAACATTAACCCAGAATTCATCCTGGGACAAGGTGTGGCCAACTCCATTGAAGGGCTGAGGATGGTGAGGCTCAGGCTTGGAGGCCAAGTCCACCAAGCCACTTAGTAGAAGGGCAGGGACTCAAACCCAGTTCAGACACCGAAGCACAAGCCCCAGCTGGGAGTTCCCAGCTGCTGAGCCTTCCCCCTTATTGGCTCAGGCCTGTCTTCCAACTGGAGGCTGGGTCTCCTTTCACCCAGGCTCACTCCCTTCCACCCTCCCAGTGAGTCTGAAAGGTCTCTGACGTCTGAAGTACCATTTCCCGAGCCTCTCTGTGCCTGGACCACGTGCTCCTACCCCAACCTGGGCTAATTCACCGAGAAACCTGCAGGCTGGGTTAGGGGCGATCAGGCTCCCAGAAGTAGAGACTAGTCTGAGGTCACACGGCAAGAGTTCTGAAGGCAGAGACTACACCCAACACCGCCCAATTCCCAAACCCGAAAGCATTAGGAAGTTGCTGGCCTAGGTGGGATCTCTGCTCTAGAGGAGTCCTTCCTGGGCCTGGGCAGAAGGGTCCCAGCAGCCCCCCGGCTCTCACCCGCGGGAGCCGAAGTAGCCATCTGTGTCCGGGAAGGCAGAGCAGTACTGGCGGAAGTAGCAGTTGAGGGGCGAGGCGAAGCACTCAAAGGTGACGCCGAAGAGTCGGTGGAGGGCCTCAAAGACGTGCACGGGCAGCGATCCCTGCAGGCCTGTCCCCTCGTAGAGGCCGACGCCAAACATCATCTGCACAGTGGCCACCGTCAGCCCCCTGGCCTTAGCCTTCTCCCTGCCCTCCAGCGGAGCCTGCCCCTGCTGCCCCAGGCCCTTACCTGGTACCGTCGGAGGAGACACCAGACTCGGGGCAGGAACCTCTCAAAGGCAGAGTCATCAATGCAGCTGTAGCGGTAAAGCAGCCACTGTGGGACAGAGAGCAAAGGCCTTCAACAGCGCCCCCTCCCTCCTCACTGGCCTCCTGCCCAGGATGCTGGCTCCAGAAGGAGCCAGCCTTCCCCTCTCCCACCTGGGGGGGGACCTGCCTCCCCTTGACCCCAGCTCTTACCAGCTTGCTAAAGTAGTTGCGGCTGACCTTGACCATCTCTCCCTTATACCGGATGCAGACCACATTATTCTCCATATGCATCTCCACACTGGGCATGGGGGGTGCAGACACAGCCAACCGTACTGGGTAACAGTACACCAGGCGGGGCTCCACTTCTGGGGCCTCCACCTCCTCTGTGGGCAGGGAGAGCAGTGAGAGGCCACTCTGCCCCGGCTCTGCTAATTCTCACCCCGAAACCCCGGACAGCCTCCATGCCTGCTGTGCACTGGGTTCCAGTAACCAGGGGAGGTAAGTCTTGTCCCATAGAGGAGCAGAATGCAGCTCAGACGGTTTGGTGACAACATTAACAGCCAGGCAGCTGGCAGGGGCAAGAGCTGATGGCCTAGGCCAGCATGCTCTGTGTTGACACAGGCCCCCAGTTTGCCAGGCAGGAGTATGAGAACTGCATCGCTTGCTTAGGCCTAGGCCTAGAGCTTTCTGGGCCAAGCACTCAGAGTTACCCAAGTTCACGTCTGAGCCTGTGGCCAGGCATGAGACTGCAGTGTGGGGAGAAGTCCACCTAACTGCTTACCCCCAGCCTGTCTTCACCACATTCGCCACCTTCTGCCTTCCCCTTCCCCCAGCCCTTCTCCAGTTCCTAGAGGAGGGCTGAAACCCCTGAGCCCCAAGACAGCAGGTCCTGCCCCAGACACTACCGGGGGAAACAGGCTCCCCGAAATCAGCCTGTGGGCTGGAGGGCTAGCCTCGCTTGTCCCCTCAGTCAGGGCCCAGGAAGCAGTGTTGGGGCCTCACAGTTGGCTCCCTGCCATCGGCTCCCTACCTGGGATGTTGTTTTCCTTGAGGATGGCAAGGTGCTTCTCACGGATCCGTTTGACATACTCCAGGGAGATGTGGTAGATCTTACTACAGATTCCCTCCACGGAGTCCTTTGCTGCGGCTGACACGTGGGGGCCACATTGCCTCCGCAGGTGCTCCAGGCGGTCCTGGAGGAGACACTCCTGATCAGGGCTCCAGGGGGCTGCTGGGGGAGGGCTGGTAGGTTCCAGCAGTCCTCGTTTTTGATACCAGCTCTGCTATTAGCACAGTAGCTGTGTCACTTGGACAAGTCCCTTGTCATCTCTGAATTTAGTCCTCCACTGTTAAGGGAACACAAAGTACTTACCGGGTAAGGCAGTTTGAGTATTAAATGTGATCATTCCCATTAAGGGCTTAACTGAGCCCCTGCCATACAGCAAGTGTTCAGTCAATGCCAGCACCTATAATGGGAGTTACACTGTGCCAGGTGCCATGAGAACTGCTGGGGAGACAGACAAACCAGGTAAAGTCCCCGCTCATAAAGCACTTGCCATCTACCACGGTGGAGACCATGACAAAACAGGGTCCTTGGTCATTGCAGATTTGAAATCTCAGCTTTTAGCAACTGGCAAGGATTTAACTAGGCATTTGTTATTTTCCTGAATCACATGTGTGAAAGTGATGAGTGAAAATGAGTCACTCTGGCTAGTGAGTACACCTACCTTTGTCACTCTACATGTCAAGTACAGTTACTATCGTGAAGTGCGAAACCTTGCCTCTTGTGTAAAATGGTCCTGAAAAGAAAGCCCATTGCAAGTGCTGGTGGAGACTTAAAGAAGTGACAGGTCTGGGCCAGAAAATGGAATCACTGTGGACGCCGTAAAGCAGGGCATTCAGTCTGGCGCCAGCTCTTTGCTGTGGCGAGTGCACATACCCAAGATAAAGCAGTTCGTCCATCTGTGTCCAAAAATCTATTCAGGGGAGCTGTTCAACATTCATTAAGTAGAAAAGGCAGCTCCTTATGGTGTGTGGCTGAGCACAGGATTCCATTAAGAACCTTAATGGAGACCGTCTTTAGGACAGAGCCAGGAGCCTGGACAAACCTCTCTACATGCAGAAGTTTGGGGACCGACAAGCATCAGAGGTCTGCTGGGGGCCCCTGCCCAGCCTAGGCTGGCAGCTGAAGGAAGGAGCCACACAGCCTTTCCACCGGCCTCCTTACCCGGGGCCACTCACCATGTAGTCCTCCTTGGAGGCAGAGTGGTCCTTCCGCAGCCAGCTGAAGGTGTCCTCCACGTTCCATTTGACCACCTTCCTGCTGTCAGGGGACGCACTCCTGCCAGTTGAGGGCGCGGGATGGAGCCAGCAGTCGGGCAGCTGCTCCACACTTATTCCCCCCGACCCCCCACTGACATTCAGGCATCAAGGCAGCCCTCACAGCCCCTGTGCTGCCTCTGGGAGCCGCCTCCTTCTGCCACAAAGATGCCGAGCTCCATGAGATGGGCCAGAGAGCCCAGGACCTCCCCACTCTGATCACACACCCAGCCTGCTGGGGACAGGGGAGAACAAACCTGGATTCAATGAGCCGCCTTGCAGCTTCTGCGTATTTAAAGAGCAGGCGCTTGGCTTCCTCCCGGAACTTGATTCGGGATAACCTGGGACCAAGAGCAGGCAGAGTGAGAGCCCTTTGAAACAGGAATGGCCACACACACACCAACAACCCCCGCCCCCACCCCACCAAGTTGGCCCCAGCTCTGGACCTGTACCTGATGGGAATGTCATTCATGATTTCACGAAACATGGAGGGTGACACGACTGGTTCACAGTTGCTCGGCAACAGGGGGTCAGAGCCTTTATCCACGACCTTGCGCTCCAGCATCCAGCGGTTGAAAGATTCTCGTGGGGGCTCAATGCCTGCGGGACAGACAGGCTGGTGAAGATCTGGCTCGGTCAGCAGCCTGCACACGGGCCCAGTCCACGGGGGGCATGCGGGCACCGGAGGGGAAGCAGTAAATGGCCCGGCCTGTTCCGTCAGGAGCTCCGCCTCTAGGCAACTCCTCCACAGGTACTGAGAATCGCGAGTTTTCTAGAGTTAGTAAATGTTACTTAGGGTAAAAGGAAAAAGAAACACCATTTCAGCAAGTTAAGCAGGCTTCTTTACTAACGAATAAAAGCCGCAGCTTACTGAGGACTTCCCATTCCACTTCCTCCTTGTAGCAATGCTGCAAGGTCCAGGTACTCTGGTTTTCATGCCCTCTTACAGACACATGAAAAGGCTTCACACATACCTGACAGACAGCAGGCATTCTGGAAGTGCTAATGATGGCTTTTGCAGTTACGGATGCCAGACCCCCTTTCCGTAAGCAGTTAGCAAACCTGGGGCTCCAGCAGGCCTATGCGCTCAACTGCTAGGTTCTGCTGCGTCATTCCCAAGCCCAGCTCTTGGCTAAGGGTGGGTGGAAACAAGGGTCCGGAGGCCCACAGGCAGTTACCCTCTCGCTGCTGGCACAGCTCCCGGTAGTGCTGCCGAAGCTTGAGGATGAGCTGGGAGCGAAGCAGCTCCACCTCGGGGTGCGGGGGCAGCACCTCTGAAGGCCCCCGGTGCTTGATGACAGCGTTGGTCTGGATGTCCAGATCCCAGTACACCCTTGGGGCACAGAAAGGAGTGAAGAAGAAAGTAGAGGCAAGGAAGGAGGGGTGCCCCGCCTGCCGCCATACCCCACGGTCCCAGACCACATCGACACTGGATGCCCCCAAGTCGATCGGCAGGGACTCACTCAGTGGGTCGGAGGAGAGCTGCCTGCTGTTTATCTTCAGGGGATGTCCCCCACATTTTCAGCGTTGGGGTTCCTGGGATACTGGGGGAGCTAGGCACCGACGGGCCTGTGGGTGTCACAGGGATTTCAATCTAGAGCAAAAAAGTAAAAGGCACCAGGGTCAGGAGAGCCAGCCTACGGCTACTGCACTGGCAAAGTGGTGAGTTGTGCCCCAGGCCCCCTCCTGACCGACTTGCCACTGCCCAGCCCTCGCAGGGAACCTGCTGGCTGCCCGCCTGGGGCAGCCGCTTACCAGCCACGCCCTCACAGCCCGCGGATGCTCACCTTGGGCTTCTTTACACCATTGCCGCTTGGCTGCTCTTCCGAGAGCTGCCGCTTTCGGGGCCTGTTCTCAGCCGGGGGGGTTTCCACCAAGCTTGAGTCTTGGGGCAGTGGGGTCGCATTCAGCCCCAAAGGGTCCGACTGGTGGAGGGAGACCAGCACAGTTGCAACCAGGGCTAGTGGCTTAGGAGTCCCACGAATACGGAATCCTGATGCCCTCCTGCCCCTGCTCCTACTGTTCCAAGAGCAAAGGGGGCGAGGATACAGAAAGAGCACTGGGTTCCACTCCTGCCTGCCTCTTACGGTTGTGGGACCTTGGGAGAGTTACGGCCCTTCCTAATTCCCTCACCGTCACAATGGCCCAACCTCCTGTTGGGAAAATGATTCAGTGAGTCCGTGAATATGACCAGTTTAATAGGACATCTGGCATGAGAGGAACCCTCTGTACATGTTAACTTCTCCTCCTTAAACACGAGAATAAGAGGAATAAAGGGAAAAACTCAAGAAATTCTTTTTTTTTTTTTTTTTTTTTTTTTTTTTAAAGAGCAAGGCCCTATGGATGAAATTCCTTTGGTGACGCTGAGAATGAGTGATAGCAGGCAGGGTGGCCCTAAAGTCACATCAAGTTTGAGTCCAGTTCTGCCTCCTACTGGCTCAAGTCTTAGGCCAGTCATTCCCCATCTCTGAACTTCAGTGTCTTCATCTGCAAAATGGGGGTGCCAACCTGCTTGATTATGCCCAGTAAGGAAAGTCTGCCCTACCTGATAGGGATCCAGAAGCCCATGTTCCTGCCAGATAGCCCCCTCACGTGGACACTTCTGCTCCTAGAACGTGCTTCTCCCCTCTGACAACTTTCAGTTCACTAACTTTGTCACCTTAAATGCTAATTCAAGGAGAAGAATGCCCTGTCCCCTCCCCTCCCCATAAGCAGACCAGGGCCCCTGGTGCAATCCAATGCTCGTCTTCACGCATGTGCCACACTGCGATCCTACTGGCTCCTCAGCAGATTGTGGGCCCCCTGAGCGTACAAGGGCAGGACCAGTTGCTCACAACTGCACCACAGGCACAGTGCCCAACATGGAGTTCAAGTTCAGGATCATACACGATTACAATCAATTCTTTACGTGTCAATCTCCCCTATTTGAGTGTAGGTTCCATGAGGGCGGGGGCTGTGTCTGTGTGTCATTGTATCCCCAGGTCCCAAGATGGAGCTAGGCACATAACAGATGCTCAAGATAGACTTGAGGAAGGCCCAGATGCTAGAAGCTGCTTGGAAGCCCTTCCCTGGGCTGGCACTCACGATCACGTCATGCTGGCCCAGCACAGGCATCTCCCACAAGGACTGGTTGGTGAATCGGTTGAAGTAGTAGGGACGGTTCTCCCTCCGGCTCCAGCACTTCTCCCAGCCCGCATGCACCAGCTCCTCTGCAAACAAGCATGGAACCCAGCTGGGGTCAGCGCTGCTCCTGAGACATCCTTCCTACCCCGCCACCCTACCCTGCCCCTCGCCAGTACCTGGGAGGTCCTGTACCAAGCGGATGGGCTTTGGAGAACAGGGCTGGCTCTGATTGGAGGTGCCTGGGGAGTGACTCAGCAGGGACGCTTCCTCCCGGGGGCTGCCGTGATTCTCATTGGCCATCTCAGCACCCACACCGGACCTGCCACACAGAGGACCGAAGGGTATCAGGCCAGCAGGACACAGACGTCAGCTCCACCCCTCACCCACCCATTACAATCCACTGAGAGCCCCAGTGACCACTTGTAGATGTGAAGATATCAATCCAGTCCTGTCCCTGGAGGGCTGGTGTGGTACCAGAGGAGCCCTGGGATCTAAGTCGCAGTTCCCTCAACTAGAAAATGGGTGCACTCCTGTTGCTCCTTCTTCCTGACATACTCTCCCCAGTTCCCAATTCCCCACCTGGCTTGTCATGATGTTCCATGTTCCAGGAAGCATTCCTGGACTCTCCAATGTCACCCCCCATCCCAAGCAGGGTGGTCAGAGCCCCTCCGCAGGGCCATGAATACCTCCACTGTGGCACTCAATCCTGTCAGCGGGGTTTGTCTACCCATCAGATGATCAGAACTCCCAGGGCTAGGAACTGGGTCCAGTTCACGACTGTCGAGTGCTCAGCAGGGTCCCTGGACCCAATAGGAACTCTATTCATTCTGCAAATATTTCCAAAGCACAGAGTGGCACAGAAGACAGAACAGGGTCTGCCCTTGAGAAGCTATTCCCACCAAAAAAGAACAGTAAATCCTCCTCTTTCCTGTTCCTATCCAATAAAATCTAACTGGAACAGAGTGCAGCCTGGAGGGGACATGGCATCTAAGTGGCTGCCTCATTCTGTGCTTCAGGGCGGGAAACAATCTGTTGCTAAAGAAAGCAGTGGGACTGAGAAGAAATATCTAATTCAGTCCTTCCTAATTCCCAGGTGAAAATTTACTTTAAATACCAGGAAGCAGGTCAGCTCCTTCGGATTTGTATTCTCCATGACACCCACCCAGTACATCCAGCACAAGCCTCGGTGGCCAGTGATTTCCTAATCTGGCTGTTAGACTCGTAGGTGCCCAACCAAGATTGGATTGGTGATCCCAAAGTTGTTCTCAGTATGTCACAACACCCCAAGAAATCATTTACCCACAAAAAGGCACAAAAGCATGTTGAAACATGAGTTATCTTTGCTTGCTGAAATTTTATCAACTCCTTGTGGTCACACTGATTATCTCATGATGATCAGAAGCTCTGATTGGCTGTTGACAACATCATAGGAATCACTGGGACATTAATTTTATTTGTACACTCAGTCATAGATGTCTTCGTTAATTTGGAAAGGGAAAAGCAAACGGTTACTTGTCAGTACAGTTTGGCAGTAAAAATGCACGAAGCAAGAGGACATACATACAACCAGAAGGGGCCGTGATAACAAAAAGGTTCAGGACCACTAACCGAGGGGATAAAAAGCTTGATTCTCTGGGGAGGAAGGATTCCTGGTGCTTTGGGGCTGAGCCCGTATGTCTCAAGCCTGAAAAAGGTCCCTCTTTTTCTCACCCTCTGGGGTCTGCAACGCTAGCATGAGAGGGTTTTCTTCTCTGATCAGATGGACCCCCACGTCACAGGGTCCCACAGAGGCAGGGGGTAGGCCTGCAGGAAGGCTCAGCGCAGGTGGGTGGGCTGGTCAGCAGTGGAGTGGACGGGGGCCCAGGAAATTCCTTGCATCAGCAACTGCAGAGCAAATAGAAGAGAGAGTCACAAACCTGTGAAATGCTGCAGCACAGGGACAGCCGCAAGAGAGGCAATGACGCGGAGCAAGTTGGGAGCCCCCAGGGCAAGGAACACTGTGGGAGATCTGGGGATTTAAGGGATGAAAATGATACTTCTCCAATTCTGCAAACCGAAAGCTTCACCTTCAGACTTGCAGCCTGCAGGCACACAAGCCCTGTGTTGTGGAGGGCCCTGCGCCTGGTTTCAGGCTCTACAGTTGCTGTCTTGAAGTTTCTAGTAAGTTTTTAACAAGGGGGGGCACCTGGGTGGCTCAGTCGTTAAGCGTCTGCTTCGGCTCAGGTCATGATCCCAGGGTCCTGGGATCAAGCCCCGCATCGGGCTCCCTGCTCGGCAGAAAGCCTGCTTCTCCCTCTCCCACTCCCTCTGCTTATGTTCCCCTCTTGCTGTGTCTCTGTCAAATAAATAAATAAAATCTTAAAAAAAAAAAGTTTTTAACAAGAGAGCCCATGTTTTCATTTTGCACACTGGACCCCAAAAACTGTGTAACTGCTTCTATCAAACAAATTATCCCTAAGACAAGAGAAAAGCGGACATACCATTTGGCCCTTGTACGACACAGGTCTGAACAGAGTGGGTCCACTTACATGCAGTTTTCTCATCGCAGTGTGCTGCTATAAATGTATTTACACTTCCTTATGATTTTCTCAGTAACATCTGATTTTCCCTAGCTGACTTTATTGTAAGAATACACTGTATAATACACATAATGTACAAAACCCATGTTCATCCACTACCTATGTTACCAGTAAGTCTTCCGGTCCACAGTAGGCTCTTAGTAAAGCTGCGGGGAGTCCAAAGTTCTACGGGGATTTCCAGCTGAGCCGCGATCAGTGCCCCAACCCTTGTGTTGATCAAGGGCCAACTGTACATATCAGATGGGGGGGCAGGGGGACACTACCAAGCCACCCACAGTGAGGGGAAAAAAGTCAATCCTTTAAAACCACAATAATAATCATACATGCTAATGGATTATGTAACACGATATGTCCACTTTCATTGACAGTTTCCTCAACAAATTATCTTGTGACACTGATGCACTCCTTAGCTGAACTACACAGAGGCAGCAAGAACAGCACAGCTTAGAGGCCAAATGGGGACACTGGAGTTTTTTCAAAGCGACTGGGCATCTCTTGTTAAAAACAAAGCGACTGGGCTTGTAAAACAATTCAGATTCCTGTCCCTCACTTCACGTCCTAGGAGTCAGGAATGGGGAGGGGAGATACACAAGAATTCGTGTCTCTTAAACACACCCCAAAAAGCGGGACCAGGAAACGCGATGACAAATTTTACACCGCTTCAAACCTTGACCAATTTTTTACGATTAAATAATTTTTCCTAATTTCCCAGGTGATTTGGGAGCAGCAGGTCGATGACCGAAGAACCTGCTCTGGGTTTGGGCAGACCCGGGGTCCAGGTCCGTCTAACGCCTTCCGACTTATAAACAGGACTCATTCGACCTCTATGGTCTCTATACGTAGAGTCTAGCGTCTTGTACACTTTAAGTAAGAAATAACTCTATTATCAAGATAATGTTTTTATTTTCCAAAGGCTTCCCGGCCCCCGCGCATACCGCAGTCTCACATTGCCGACCAGCTTAATAAACAACTGTGTCTGCGCAACCGGAGGAACGCACGAGAAGGAAAAGAACCCGGTTATTGGAGAAAGATGGAGGGGAACCATCTCAGTAATGCACCAATCAGAACCCCTCTGAATCAGGAGGGCGGAGTCAAAGGACTTGCAAAGTGCGCAGGCGCGAGGGACGCTCAATGAGGGGGCTCCCCCCCACCCGAGCGCGCGCACATTTTCCCCTCCCCCCCCAACCACAGCGGGGGCGGGCTGTTTGGCGCGCGCGCGCCAGCCCATCTCCCGGGCTCCGCCCCCCGCCCCACCGCGCGCTCCCGCCCCCGGGCTGAGGCGACTCAGAGTCGGAGCCCGACACAAAGGCGGTGGCGGCGGCAGCAGCGGAGGGACCCTAGAGGCCGCTCCGCCCGCGCTCTCCGGGCCCACCTCCCTCACCGAAGCCACCGGCCTGGCCGCCCACCCGCGGGCCTAAGATGGCGGCGGCGGCAGAGATAGGGCAAGCGGTGGCCCCGAGCGGAAAGCGCCACAGGGGCCACCGCTGCCCGGCTTCGGATCCCCGGACCCCGGAGCGGCTCGCCGCGGGACCATGGCTTCCTGGGGCTCTTACCTGCCCGGAGCGGACTCGCGGGGACGCGGCTACACGTTCTGCTCGACCTCCCGTTTTGCCGCCTCCGCCTCGCCCTCCCCAGCGCCGCTGCCGCCATCTTGTGTCCCGGGCCGGGACTCCGCGCTGCGCATGCGCTGGTACCGCCTCTGAGGGACCTTGCCGCTGTCGCGCCGCCATCTTGAGTGTGGCAGGACCAGCCGACTCCACAGACCCTGCTTGCTTTCGGCCCCCTCCCCTTCCTCCCGCTCTTCCCTGCTGTTCCATGCGGGTCTCGGGAGGGCACGGCAGCTTTGCAGTTTGTGGGGTGTGGGCTGAGGAAAGAACGTGCTCAGAAGCACGCTCCCAGCCTCAGTTTCCCCCCGCGAGCACATCCGCGGGGGATGGAGGACCCGGGTGGGAGGTGCACCGCCGGGGCGGGACTGAGAATGCGCACCGGGGGGGCGCGGGGCGGGCTGGGAACCTGCGGGCGCTCTGCAAAGACGCCCACCCGGGGGCGGAGTTGTGACGCTGCTCTGGGCGTTAGCAGGGACCCGGGTCCTAGCTCCGGCTGGGCTCTGCCCCTTCAACGTCCAGTCGCTTGACCTCTCTGTGCCACGAATGCTTTCCAGCCGTTTTCCATATCCAGGATGCATGCAAATCGAACCTTCGCCCATAGTGAGGCTACATAAGTTCTAAGTGCGCTTGAGTAGGAGAAACTCAAAACAGCCGCAGGTGACATAGTAAACGGCTTTGGCGAATTTAGGAAATTATTAACTAAAAGCATCAGAGGGGCTCTCCCAACACTGACATACCTGTGGCTACTAGTTGCGGTGCTAAGCCTCGCTGAGAGCTCAGACCGGCCACCAAAGTTAGCCCAGCTGGAGATGCAGTTGCTAGGTACCCCACGCCCGACTCCCTGCGGGATTCTTGGGTAGGGGCGAAGCGACCCGCTAGCTCCACCGCCCCCGGGCCGCTTTACTAAACAGACCTCTCAGCAGGAGCTTGAAAGGAACACAAGGTTGCCACCTGCTGTTGGTCTGGCGCTTCCCAGACCAGGCACTGTGCCTAGCCCGGTGCAGCCGGGTGGGGTTGGGGGAGTGCCACCAAAACGGGAGGCAGCAGTAGGAAGTAGGGAATTCATCAGTCCGGCTAAGTTTAGAGCCGTGCTCCACCATCCTAGATGTGTGGCCTTGAGGGAGCTGTTCGACCTCTTTGAGCTTTGGTTTCCTCTAATGGAAGGTAAGTCCACCTGCCTTGTAAAGGTTTGGAGAGAATTAACTGGGCCTGTGAAGTACCCAGCACATGTGGTACCTGGCCTTTAAAAACGTTAGGTGTTATCGCCTCACGGGGTTATGAGGATTGCTCCGAGAAGATCTGAGCCCTCCAAAAACAAACCGGCCCCGTATAGGCCCAGTAGGTGAAGCCAAGCCTCCTTTAACAGGGCACCAGTTCACTCGGGAAGCTCAGCCGGTTAACCGTCCGCCTTCGGCACAGGTCACGATCCCGGGGTCCTTCCATGGAGCCAGATCAGGTTCCCTGCTCAGCCTGCTTCGCCCTCTCTCTCTCTGCCTGCTGCTCCTCCTGCCTCTACTCTTTCTCTTTGTGTCAGATAAATAAGATATTAAAAAAGAAAAGAGAGAATAGCACACATACAGAAAAGTGCACAAAACGGAAATGTAAATCTTGATGCTCTGTCACAGAGCAAAGACCCATATGAACATCACTCAGTCAAGGTATCCTCAAGCACAGCATAATCACCACTAGTTATTTTTTTTTATTTGTTGTATTTTCCTTTATTTTTTATTTTATTTTATTTTTTTCTTTATTTTTTTTTAATTTTTAAAAATTAACATATTATGTATTATTGGCCCCAGGGGTACAGGTCTGTGACTCACCAGGTTTACACACTTCACAGCACTCACCATAGCACATACCTTCCCCAATGTCCATAACCACCCGCCCCGACCCCCCCCAACCCTCAGTTTGTTTTGTGAGATTAAGAGTCTCTTATGGTTTGTCTCCCTCCCAATCCCATCTTGTTTCATTTATTCTTTTCCTACCCCCCAAACCCCCCACATTGCCTCTCAGCTTCCTCATATCAGGGAGATCATATAATTGTCTTTCTCTGATTGACTTACTTCGCTAAGCATAATACACTCTAGTTCCATCCACGTCGTCGCAAATGGCAAGATTTCATTTCTTTTGATGGCTGCATAGTATTCCATTGTATATCTATACCATGTCTCTTTTTTTTTTTAAGATTTTATTTATTTGACAGAGAGATCACAAGTAGGCAGAGAGGCAGACAGAGAGAGGGGGAAGCAGGCTCCCTGCTGAGCAGAGAGCCCGATGTGGGGCTCTATCCCAGGACCCTGGGATCATGACCAGAGCTGAAGGCAGAGGCTTAACCCTCTGAGCCACCCAGGTGCCCCTATACCACATCTTCTTTATCCATTCATCTGTTGATGGACATCTAGGTTCTTTCCATTGTTTGGCTATTGTGGACATTGCTGCTATAAACATTCGGATGCACGAATCACCACTAATTTTGTGGTAATCACTTCTTTGCTTGTGTAGTTTTACCATGGAAGCGTGTATCCCTAAACACTACAGTTTCATTTTGCCTGTTCCTTGAACTGTATACAGATGGAATTCTACAGTCCCCTGTTGTGTTGGCCTTCTTTTGCTCGACATTGGACTTGGAAAACCCATTTATGTTGTTGCATGTAGCTATAGTTCATTTTCATTGCTGTATTCTGTCTTCCAATGGATATTTATCTACTCTACTGTTGGGAGATATTTGAAGCCCCCCACCCCATACCTTCTTTCTGAATTATTATAGATAATAATAACAACAAAATTATTATATTTAAATAAATGAGCTAAGCCATTAAGTATGTAAATATTTGAATGGATGAGTGAATACTAAAACCATTCTCCAAACTGCTCTTCCTGTCTTCCACCCTTGCTTCTCTCGTAGTCCGGAATGCCCCCTCCAGTCACAGAGATCTCTTTAAATCTGGTCATATGGAAAATCTGTTCACGTCACCCTGGGCTTAAAACCCTTGAATATCTCCCCACTGACTGCAGGATGAATTCCCAAACCCTTAACTTGGTTTACAAGGTTGTAATTATAAGGGGAGCTACCATGGCAGAGCGTTGAGTATGGACTGTGTCTAACACTTTACATACATTCATGTTATTCATGATCCAGACCTTCAAACGACCTCTCCTTCATCAGACCCCAGCCTTCACGAACTACGTGCAATTTCCCCAAAGGTGCCAGGTTCTCTTTGAGCTTGGGCCTTTGCATATGTTGTTTGCTCTCACTCTCTCCCCAATTGGACTCATTCAGCCTTCAAGTCTTACTTTAAAATTTTACTTATTTTTGGGCGCCTGGGTGACTCAGTGGGTTAGGCCACTGCCTTCGGCTCAGGTCGTGATCCCAGGGTCCTGGGATCGAGTCCCACATCGGGCTCTCTGCTCAGCGGGGAGCCTGCTTCCCCCCCATCCCCGGCCTGCCTCTCTGCCTACTTGTGATCTCTGTCTGTCAAATTAATAAAATCTTAAAAAAAAAGTTACTTATTTTTTATATGAGAGAAGGGAGGTAGGGGCAGAAGGTAAAGGAGCATCTCAAGCAGGCTCCTTGCTAAGCATGGAGCCCAATGAGGAGCTCGGTCTCACAACCCTGAGATCATGATCTGAGCCAAAACCAAGAGTCAGATGCCTAACCGACTGAACCACCCTGGTGCCCTCTTCAAGTCTTACTTTAGATGTCACCTCCTCCAGGAAGCCTTCACTGAACCAGGCTAGGTCAGTCCCCCTCTTCTGTATTCCTACAGCAGCCTGTGCTCAGTGGACTGCTTAAGGGTGGGGCTGGGGCTTGTTCACATCTGTAGCACCCATACCCAGTGCTGTGCCTAACCCTCTGTAAATATTTGTTGACCATGGACAGACCACACTGGGTTGAAGCCTGGGTGATTTTTTTCCAGGTATCCCTGTTTCTATTCCAGGCTCTGGTTTCTGTGGTGGGGACACCAAGGCAGTGCCCTCTGAGATGCCAAGAAAAGCAGAAGTTGCTTGCCGTGGCAGAGTCCTTGCCAGCAGCTTGGAGTCCGCTACTCCCAAGATAGGGATGAGCAGGTCAAGCAAAGATCCTGGGGCTTTCAAGCACTCCATCAACTTTCCTGAAGAAGGCTAGTGAGTTGGGAGAGGTGGTGGAGATAATCAGGGCTCCTCCAGCTTTAGCCAGTCCTGGCTGGGAACCTGCTGGCAGAGCCTCTGAGGACCTCAGCCTAGGCTGCATATTAAAGCAGAAACATAAACATCCAGGCTCAGGCTTCCACATACTTTCACCCCCTTGTTCTCTGCCACTACAGTAGGAAGCTGCTGAGGGAACCACACATCCCAACCCCTGAGGTCCTGGCGGTCGGGGCAGGGAGGCTCCAGCGTGATCCTGATTCAGGCTGCCCCCACCCAGGTCCAGCCAGAGCTGCCCGTAGACTCGGCTCTGCCATTTAAATAACACTGAAGCCGTTTCCAAGGTCAGTGGGCCTGGCCCTAGGAAAGCTGCAGAAGAAAGACTTCATCCCAAACTGTGGTTTCCACTGGGAGTGGCTCTCTGGCCATTCTGGGGCCAAATGAGAGAAGCCATTTAGGCCAAGAATAGATGAGGGGAGTGGGGCGTTTCCTCTAGCCTTTCTGGTCCTTTAAGTGTCTGATGTGGTGTCCGGTTCCCCACCATTTCTTCTTCCAGCTGGGCCCAGTATGAGGTGGGGCCCACCCCAGAACCTTCAGAACCAAAGATAAATAAGACAGACTCTGTCCTCAGGCTGCTCACAGAGGAGGCAGGGAGGCAGACACAGAACAGGAAGAAACCCTCTGCTACAGGGAGATAAGGGCTCAGCGGGGCTGACCATGGGGCTGGTCCCTGCAAAACAGAAGGCTTCAGAAAAGAGGGCAATGAGCAGACTCTTGCTGGAAGGATAGGACTTTCCAGGTGGGCAAGGATACAGCCCGTCCCAAGGACTAGAGGGGTGGAAAGGGGTGGTGTGTTGGGGGAACTCGGCAGCCGGAGCACACTGCCAGGCAACGGGGAAGGTGCAGGTCGAGTCAGGGTCCTGAGCCCCAAATTCAGTCCCTGTTCTGGGTGAGCACCTGGCATGTCCAGGTGGTGTCTGGATCATCTCAGGATGGGGGCGGGGGCACCTTCACCCTCCTCACCCATTCCTTCTGATGCCGGTTCTTACTACTTTGGGCAGAGCAGCCATGAACCAGGATGTTTACCCTCCTATGAGCTGAGTCTGCAGAATGAAATCCCAGACTTCTCCAAAAAAGAAGCCAGGGTGACAGCTGGCAGCTTCATGAGCATCTGAAATCATAGGAAACTTTGACCAGAGAGGGGGAAGAGGGAGGACACCAACTGGGTTCCTAGGACGCTTGGCTTCTAACCCAGAGATCTCAACCCTGGTGGGAAAAACCTTAATAATAAAAAAAACTTTAACAATTTATGTATGTTGCGAGAGTCACCTGTTTCAAATGTACCATTCAATGATTTTGAGTAAATGTACAGCACTGTGCAGCCATCCCATCTCAGAACATTTCCATCACCCCAGAAAAGAGCTCTCGTGACTGTTTGCCGTCACCCCATCTTCCCATGCCCCACTACTCTGCTTTCTATCTGTATAGAGTTGCTTTTCCTGGACCTTTCGCATAACAGAACCATACAGAACGCAGTGTTTGCCTCGGTCCCTTTACTTCACGTCCTGTGTTTGAGACTAGCCGTGTCTCTGCACCGATCTGTAGTTCATCGTTTTTTCCTGCTGAATGGTCCCCCGCCGCACCTATACAGCACGTTCTGTTTAATCTGTTTACGGGGTGCTGGACCTTTGGGTTGTTCTCCACTTTTTGGCTGTTAGGAATGGTGCTGCCATGAACATCCGTGTGCAAGTGTTGGTGTGAGCGTTTGTTTTCCTGTTTGTGGAGTAGATGCCCAGAAGCGGAATTGCTGTGTATGTAGTTAAGTGTGTGCTTAACTTTATGAGAAACTGGCAAAGCCCTTCACTACGCTATGTCCTTAGCAGCAGCATGTGAAGGTCCTCATTTCTCCATGTCCTTGCCGATGCTTGTTACTATCAGTCTTTTTTATTATATCCTGTTGAGGAGCTTTTTTAAAAAAACACCCACTGATGCCTGGGCTTCAGCCCAAACCAATTAAATCAGAGTTCTACGGGGGTGCCTGGCAGGTTCAGACCATGGAGCGTGTGACTCTGGATCTCAGGGTCCTGACTTGGGCCCCACGTTGGGCGTGGAGCCTACTTAAAAAAAAAAAAAATCAGAGGGGCACCTGGCTGGCTCAGTCGGTTAAGTGTCCAACACTTGATCTCAGCTTAGGTCTTGATCTCAGGGTCGTGAGTTCAAGCCCGGCATTGGGCTCCATTCTGGGTGTGGAGCCTACTTAAAAAAAAAAAAAGAAGGAATGAAAAAATCAGAGTCTTAGGGTTTGGGGCCGTAGGCATTCAAAACAAAAC